AGAGAGAGAGAGAGAGAGAGAGAGAGAGAGAGAGAGAGAGAGAGAGAAATGGAATTTGGTATCATCAGGTAACAAACAACGTAACAGCCGATTCCAAAACACCAACATTTGTATGAGCGTTGAAAACACATTCAACACGGTCATGACACCTAGTTACACATATTTTTTTCTTCGTTGCACTTGTCGTTGCCTCTCAGCTCCTTAGACTATGCTTTTTCCGTATATATGTAGAGTAAATAGTTTTGCTGCTGTTTCCTCTGGCTGATAATCAGCAATTTATCAATGTGTACATGTGTGTGTGTGTGTGTGTGTGCAAAATGTTTTGTGAGATGTTTCCAGCAAAAAGAGATTCGCATTTCTTGCTCATCATGTAGCATGTGTGTTGCTGATAAATCCATTTCATCTCACCATAACCAGCTATCTATCGAATTACAGCTGATAGCTGAATGTATACACGGCAACAACGACGACTTATTGTTCGGTCGCAGTAGCAACACATGGAGACGCAAGAGTGCGCGACTTCATTGAGAGCGAGAACAAGAAAATGTCGATCAGAGCAAGAGAATGACAATCGATAAGCATTACTGTCGACATCGACAATTTTACGTCAGGCGACAGTAAAAAAAAAAAGCATACACACACAACGAAGAATGAAAGAGAGCACTACAAAAAGAGTGAAAGACGCTCAGCTTCTTTTGCTGAGAACAAGCTGTTTGACTAGGTATTCGGCAACCAATGCAATCATCAAATAAGAAAAACACTAATTTGTTGATAACTCCGAATGAAATTGCACAAAATGTGAGACACTTGAAAACCAACACAAAAGACGAGAAAAACAGCGCAGAGAGAGAGAGAGAGAGAGAGAGACAGAGAGATTGGGAGACACACAAAGACAACCTCCAGAGAAACTTCAGATTAGGTGAAAAAAAAAACACACGTCATGCAGATTGCTCGTAACCCACAACGAAGCAACAACAACAAATCTGATCGAATAACGAATGAATGGGGGAAAATAAGTAAAGCGTATTGAGGAAAATAACTCACACATAATGAAATCTAAAGTAATAATTAAAGCCGCAATTGACGCCCGAAGGCCACTGTATATGTCGACTGAATGGGAATTGCGTATGTGTGCATATGTGTTTGCCGCTTAAATGACGTTGCATATCGTTATTTTTCTCGCTATGTCCGTGTGTATAATTGACGCGCACGATTGTGGCATACAGAGAAGAGAAGAACACGACACAAACCGATACACCCAAATCAACAGCGATTTCGAAAAAAAGCAAGTGCGGCAGGCATTCTTTTTCTTTATAATAACCACATCATATGCTCCAGTAGCCATCAGTTAATGAATTGATTTCATTTCATCGACATTACTTGTTGAGCAACAAAAAAGTCCGTCAAGTTTCTAGTAATTTTTTTTTCACAATTTCGCTTAACGAATTTTGTCCGGTGGAATGAAAAATATAAATTGAAACCAAGAAAAATAAGAAAACAGCCAAATTTAATAATTCAGTGTTCGAGATTTATTTTCATTTGTTGACAAAGAAATAAATAAATTTCAACTGTGCCGTGTGTTCCTGTCATCGATCAAATTCACTGAAATCGTAACTCGATTTATTAATAAGAAAAATCAATAAATCGCAACCGGTGTGAAAATCAACGCGTTTCGATTCGAATCATACAAGAAAAAAAGGAAATCGAGAGAGAGAAAAAGAGAATCACTGTCGAATTTCCCATTGACAAAGCCAAGTAAACAAGTTTGAAGAAAACAACAACAAAAACAACGACAACAAAATTCAACGTAAACTACACGAAAAATTAAAAGCAACAATAACCACATACAAAATGTACAGGTAAATCAATAAACAAACTGATACACCGTATACCTATTGAACATCATCATTTCATTTCCCTTCTCCAATCGGCACAAGGAAATATATCAGTTACATTGTCGGAATGAAACAAACACAAAACCCAGAAAAAAAAACAAACAATCAGAAAAAAGAAAAAAAAAAAACCAACTGGATTCGGAAAACGACTAAGAGAAAAAACCGTTAAATAATAATACGATAAAGAATGAAATTGAAGTGAGAGAGAAAATGCCGATCATATACAAGGTGTATCAGGTCCACGAGTCAATTGCTGCATGCGAACAGAAGCGGCAGCGGCGTCGAAATTTTTCGAATTTTTCAATTGTAAGCACACACACACACACAGCTCCATTAAAGGTAGCTTCTCGTATATCCATCTATCGCTTTGAATCTCTCTTCCACGCTCCGCTTATTTGGGATTTGATTTGTTTTTATTTTTTATTCAGTCTCCCCTCCTCACCTCTCTCTCTCTCTCTCTCTCTCTCGTCTTTTTTTTTTATTGCTGATAACTTAAACCCGCCTGATGCTCTAGATTTATTAGAGAAAAAAAAACCCAGATTTCCCTAGAAAAACACAGAGTCAAGCCGTAAAAAAAATACATAAAAAAATACAGTGCGTATCAACTAATGCGTCATTCGTGCAACAGACAAAGAATTCCAATTTCCTGATTGACCAACATCGATAATTCATTCGATATTCAAATTTTACGACGTATTCACAATTGAATGCATTCAGCATGGATGCCTCCGAGGCACATATTTAATTGCAACATATTAAAAGTTCCATTTTGTCATCGTCGAAACTTTATAACTCACATAAAGATAATTGCAATAAAAAAAACACACAACAATCCTTTAAATATGGGGCAATTTACATGTTCGATCCAAATGTCAGCGTTAACAGTCAAAACACATGATGTATGCACATATTTACTCTGTTTCCATTCCAACGTCCACTACTTTTCTGGTCCATCTGTGTTCGCTCGAAACGAAAAAAAAAAACCGAATTGAATTCAATGAATGGTGACAAAAATGAATTGTACGCCATCGTCATCGGTACAAATTAAAGCTAACATAAATTTGCATATCATACAGAATGATGTGCGGCATATTTGGTCAAGTGCAAAACGGTACACAAACGAGAGATCGAATGAGAGGGAAAAAAAACAATCTCGTTTGGATTCGAATTCAGCGGTCGTAGCATTGATTAAAAGCGTGAATTACTCGCACGATTGATCACAGACGAGCAGACGAGTAAGCGATACGGTCGACACACAATTTGTTCGATGTCGATGCTGTTGTTTCTTTTTCGTTACTATCGTGTGAAATGTCCGCATGAATTTAATTAAATTAAATTACCTTTTTTAGTCTGAAAGTGACACATTTGGTTCAATTTTCCGCTGTTGTTGCTGATGGATTTTTTTCCCCCATCGGATTGAAATGATTATTCATTTATCAAGAGCGTGCACAGACTGGAAATAATCAAAATAGTTCAGAGTTATTTGTCAAACGGTTTTCATCAATCAAAAAATGATCACGTTGAAAAGTTCATTCGCTTGGCGTTTTTTTTTTTTTTTCGTTTTCATTTTCATTGGCATTTCCAAAGAGAGGAAAAAATAAAATTCCAGACAATCATATCAGAAAGCTATTACCTATTTCCATTTACGAAATCAATGCCACAGGCTGTCATTAGTGCGTAACGAAAGTATTAGATGAGAGAAAACAGAAAAAGGAACAAACGATTGGATATGTATTAATCCGATGAGTGAAAAAGGCTGCTACGGTTTGTAGCAGTTGGTGTGTGTATGTGTGCACATCGCAGAGTCACATTCAATCCACTTGAATCATTTGTTATCGATTCACACTCGACTTAATGCCTTTTCGCAACATCGAACCAATTAAATATATTGACTGTTAATACAAATTGATTAGGACTTTATCGTTGCTCGCCGTTTCGATGGGTCACTGGCTCTCTTTCTCTCTGTGTGTGCCAAGCGTTCCCTTGTCTCATGCTAAAAATCCATTTTCGATAGTAGACGTGTGCGAAAGAAAAGAGATGCATTAAATTTATGACAATGTATTTGGAATGATGATTTTTTTCGCTTGCGGTATATGTTCACATGTTTGCGTACATGTTCAAAGTTGATTTTTTCATTCGTGTGCATTGTTTTTGTTCGCGACGCGCCGCAGCACAGCACACAGCACCGAGAGTATTCATGTGCCGAAATTTGAGACGTAAATTTTTAATGTCTGTCGTATGGCACGAGCAACAAAAAAATAATGTGTCATTGCCATCATTTAGGCATGTGATAAGTGCTGAAAGCACAAGTATTTTTTTTTTCAGTCTTCTTCTGTTGCTGTTGCTTGTGTCGAAAATTAGACTGGCGATTGTTTCAGTCGCTGTGTTTTTTTTTTTCTTCTTCTTTTGTTCGGTGTTTTTGTTGTCGTCGTCGGCGGCATCGTGAATTATATAAACAACTTGGAATGTTGGTTTCGGGTGCTTCTTCTTGAATTGACTACTGTGTTCCACATGACTTTCTGTTGCCATATTCAAAAACTACACCCGACCATATGGTTGCTTGAACTCTGTTTCGCCCGAATGAAACGAACAAAGTGTGCGCTACAATGAGACAGAGAGAGAGAGAGAGCAAGGGAGAGCGAGCACGAAAAAAAAAATGATAACATTTTCGCAAAAGTTGTACATGTGAAGTCTCTCTTAATAAAGTTATTTAAACTCTTTGTAAGTGTATGGCGCCTAATCTCTCATTGGGTACGTTGGATATTTGCATTCTCTCTCATTTTCTGTTTGAAGACGGTGGGTGTGCATGTGTGCATGTATGTGCTACAGAAACAGTTGATTATTTGGAAAATCATTGCGACGTGCTGTTCGTAGTAGTACCAATCCGAAGCAAAAAACAACAAAACACACGGCCAACAGATGATTTTAATGTGTATTCAACGAGTACATCACAATGAGAACCATATAATTTTTGCCGACATTTTACTCGAATTTTGTAATTAACAAAATTGTTCAGCTGAGCCAAATGCAACTTTTCTATGTTTTGCATATATATTCACATCAAATCCGCTCTTGCTATCGCATACAGACCGTCTGACTGAGAGCAAAGAATAAGAACGTGAATAAGCTTCGGCTCTTAGCTGCTGCTGCAGCTCGGTTTGTCGTTTTATTATTTGTTCATTCTGCTCTGTCTCTTGGTGCGCAGCTAAAATGACATTTTCAAATGATTTTGACAACAATCCAATGCCAACATCTCAAACTCTCGGAATGTGAATGCTTGCATTAAGATGCAATCTTCATTACGTTTATGCCAAAAATGCATTAACACAATTAACGAATCGCTATTTCGAATTCGAATTCTGCGGCTGTACAGTGTACACTGTACACGCTTGGATGGCACTTGTGAAATGAAATTCGAAATATGTGTGTGTGTGTGTGTGTGTGTGTGTGTGTGTGTGTGTGAGTACATTGATGTGATGGATGGCAAATGTGGGAACACACACACAGCCCAAATCCTTTTTGGCTCAAATCAAATCCATTTTGATTTCTAGACAGTTGACGAACGGCAACAGCATCAGCAGAACAATTTGTCAGTTAAAATGGAACACTTTTCAAGAAGACACACTCTCTTTGTCTTTCACTGTCGCTCTCTTTCAATCTTTCGAAATTATCGCACATCCTGAATGAGACAAGAGATAATATTGGTGTTTGTAATTTCCGCATCATCATTTTTCAAACACACACATACATACAAAAACTCAGTCCACCAAAGTTCAAGTCATTGTTACCATTTTATCGTGGAGAAGTTATTTTTTGCTTGCGGCTATTAAAGTTTTTGAAGTCGCATATTTTGATCTCTCTTTCTCTCTGTGTATACATTCATAAGGCAACTCACTTATAGTCACTTTATCATAACGGCTGACATCGTACGATATGCGTCGACCGTATACGTCATTGTTGATAATCAGTTCGTTTTCGTTGCTTGTCGTTAAATAAGGCGGTTGATTCATTTTGGTTGTTATTTTCTTCGGCTATCAACCTCAATCCAATACAAAGTGTTACTTATTGCTATCGGTATTTTGGATTGGTTGTTCATTTGTCTTTGGCATTTTCAATTCTTGCTGTTTTTTGTTATTGTTTCCGCTTTCAATGGAATTGTTATTTTTCTGTCGTTCTCCTTATTGTGTATCGATTGTTGTGCACTTTTTCTCGGGTCAAATGGCGTGACGACCTGTGAGTTGTTTTGATGCACTCGATAAATGAGCCAATATCGTTAGACTTCACAGCTGAACCATTTAAACCAGCCATTGGCATAAATTCAATACAAGCATATAAATTCCCGAACAGTCTTTTCTTCTCTGTTCATTTTATTTTCCTATCCAAGCGATAGAGTTTAATTTGTCTTTGACTCGAATGTGTCAGTCCGACCACATTTACGCATCGAACGGTAAAAATAAACAGCTATTGACGACAGGAGAAGAACCACACTGAATCAAGAGAACGAATGACACCGAATAAGAAAAACAAAAGCGAGACAAAGAATGACATCGTAGCATAAATGAAAAAGGCTACACACAAAATGACATCCGACACTCGAACTACAACAACAACAATAACAAACTATTTATATTCATCTGATACATATATATCGAGCGTTGATCGCGTGTTTGCCGACACCGACGTTTATATTCAGTCGGCTGTTTCATTGCTGCGGTGAATGATCTTGTTGTTGTTTGACGTTGGTTTCAAGTCGGCCAGAGTGACAGAGTAAGCAAGTAATAGTGAGAGCAAGCTAGTTTTTAACGTGTTCATTTATCAATTGTGAACAGTGTTTGTTGCGGACACAAGTGTGACGAAATCTCTTAAACTTGGTTTAGATTTATTGGCCTAGAACGAGTGAATCAAGTTAAATGTTTTCATTCACGCAAGGAATGTGTTGATAATTATTTGATCGGCTAAATACACAAGCGTTCACATACACACGCGAACCAATATCTACGTGAATAATATCGAAACGAGCATTTCAGAAAGAGAAAGCAATTTTGAAGCGAGAGAGAGAGGGAGACAGCAGGCGAACATGTTATTGTGGTGGATGTATGTATAATTTGTATAAATTCAGTCAGTTGATTTAGACGAGCCCCATGCGCTCCATGTGTTTTTGGTCGTCGATTTTCAGTCGGTTGTTTAAATCTAGCCGCAATAACACACAATAATACCATAGACGATAAACCAGTCAGAATTCATCGAATCAACTAATCATAAATACTTTGGTTGGTTCACATAACTATTGCCATACACACACACACACATACACATACGCACACGCGTCATCTCCTGACCGCCGTCGTCATCGTTGCTCGAGAAATTCGTTCACAGGCAGTAGCAGCAGTAGCATAAACACGATTTAAATATTTTCCATCCGCAAATCAATCTTTCATTCGTTTTACACTATATCCATTCGTCTGTCGAATCTGGTGTGCATATGAAGCATATTATTGTGCCGTGTGCGTGTGTATTCACTTATGTGTTTTATTATTGTTGGTTATTTTGCTACTACTGCCGACTCGATGCTGTGCTAACATTTGGTTGTTATTCAATTTGGTCAGCTAATTTGTAAAAGCCACGTTGTGAATAAAGCACCAAAGATATTCTGTGCGTAAGAGAGAGACACACACACACATAGAGAGAGAGAGAGAGAGAGTCAACGCTCGACAAAAACTCCATTATCAGTGTTCAGTATGTACCCCAAATAGAAAATAAGTCAAATTAATTAACTGGTGTTTATCATAGACATTGCTCTGTCTGGTTCGTGGTTACGTCGTTTGTGGCTTTGATCGAGATTTTCGGTTACGTTTTGATGACTTTGGCTCAAAGTATTTTTTTTTTCTTTGGGCTAAACTATTTTCTTGCTTCAATGCATTCATTCATATTCGAGTCTCCATCAATCTATATATCGATGTCGTTTTTCATAGTTTTCCCACTGAGCATTTGTGCCATACACTAAAGTTTGAACCGTTGTTGGATGTGTTCATGCTTGGAATTTTTAAAATTGTTCATCGCTTTTAGATTGAGAATCGTTTCGGTAGTTTTTCATGCACTCAAAATACAATTCAACATTTAAAATAGAAACATGAACATTCAAAAGTCCAATTAATCAGGATTTTCTCCATCGATGTGAAAGAAAATAAATAGCCGACGAAGATAGAAACGTAGAAACAAGTGAAATATCTTCTCGGATCAGAGCGAAAATCCAAGATATTATATGTCAAACTGTCATTTACACGTTTCGATGTTCATTTTTTTTTCTCTGCTTCTACTCTCTATCTACGTGTATCGATTAACATTCGCTAAACTAATGGCAATTCTCTTGCATTCGAATGTTCTTGTTTTTTTCTAAATCAAATTAAGGACAAAAACGACGGCGACGGCTATGACGACGTCAACGATGAAAACAAATCTATGTGTCGCATGTGAGCGCTGCACTTGAGTGACATTGAATTCCAATTATTATGATAAACATATATACGAGATTAGTTTGCATTGTGTGTAAGTGTTGTATGAACAAGTGAGTGAGCGTGCACCTTGTGCTTTGTGTTTTGTGGAAGGCAAAATACGATTTATGCGGAGATAATGACGTTCGAATTGTGCACAACAAATTCACTTCGATGACAAAGAAATCTCGGAAGTTATTCAGTATTTGATGCTTAAACCTTTTTTTCATTGCGACTTGAACCAGTTTCAAATCAATAGAATACAACATGTGTTTGGGTTTTGCTACTCGTTTCACTTTTCCCTCTCCATTTTCTCTCTCATTATCCACATGCATCTCATTATCATATGACTTTTTGTTGTTCTCACGATAACAACTGTACAAGTGTACATTCCATGTATATTTGCATTCTCCGCCAAAATTCAATTCAAGCAAAAACATTCAATTAATCCAATTGTTTCTTTTTATCCGCGCTCATTTTCAGATTGAACAGTTCATTGATCAGCTTGGTTGCTATTTCGGCAAATCCAGCAGAAAATGCCACCAGCCTAGTATCGAATGGTGTACAACGTACAACTGCCCCGACAATTTTAAAGCCAGTTCATAACGGAAACGGCAGCACAACACTTGTAAACATGACAAACAGTGAACCAGTGAACAGTGAGTATATATTTCCATATTCACCATATTCACCACAACCAATCGAAGCTATTACCCCATGCCATTGTCTCATCTAACATTCTCCAACTGTTTTTGTGTTTTCTCCTTTCAATTTTTTTGCCCGTGTGTCGATACATAAACAGTCGGCGATAAATCGAAGAATGCTGCCGCTGCGGCTCAGGTCATTCGTAATTCGGAGGTTGTGTGTTTCGATGTTGATTCGACCGTGATTCGTGAGGAAGGCATTGATGAATTGGCGCAATTTTGCGGCAAAGGTCAAGAAGTTGCTCGTTTGACAAAGGAAGCAATGAAAGGATCAATGACATTCCAAGAAGCGCTGCGATTACGATTGAACATTATTCAACCGACACAACAGCAAATTCGAGAGTTCCTCAAATCACGGCCCAGCACATTATCACCGGGAATTATGTAAGTTCCATTTTGGTTTTGGCCAATGCTTATCGTGCTCTTTTTCTGTTTCTTTCGCCCAAATCGCTCTCGTTGTGTCTTCCAGACACACAGAAAGAGAAAGAGGGAAAGAGCGAAAGAGCGAAAGAGAAGTGTGTTTTTATCAAATCGACTAATTTTGAATGTTTATCGGAAAATAGGGAGTTTGTTAGCCGCTTGCGTGATGCCAACAAAACGGTTTATCTGATTACCGGCGGATTTGATTGTCTCATCGAACCAGTTGCGGACGAATTGGGCATTCCACTCGATCATATGTTTGCCAATCGATTGTTCTTCAACTTCAACGGTAGGTTTTACTTTATTTACTTCCTCATATTTTCCATGCTACAAACTCTGTCCGCAATTATATTGCGTCCAAAGCGTTTAATACAATCGTTGTATTCTATATGTTTTTGAATTACGATGTTTCAGGTAAATACGCTGGCTTTGATGTGAATCAACCAACATCACGGACGGGTGGCAAAGGCGAAGCCATTAACATCATTCGACGATCACTGGGTCAAAATGTCAGTGTAACAATGATTGGTGATGGAGCCACTGACCTTGAAGCAGCACCGCCTGCTGACAATTTCATCGGCTATGGTGGAAATGTGGTGCGTGAAGAAGTACGCAACCGTGCTCAATATTATGTTACCGATTTTCAACAATTGTACAAAGACCTGTAACTTCATCGTAATACCGTATTTGGGATCGCGATAAGCACACAGAACACACAAACAAACCCATCTCTATCGTCTTTCATTGACATCAGCTAAAACTTGGTTGACTTCAAGTGTCAATTGCTTTTTTCTTATATATATATATATGCACATAAATAGTTCTTCTCTGCAGTAGATATACGGTACTCTTAAAATAATTATGCAAACATAGTGAATATTAATGAAATTATAAATCAATAATTGTGTTTGAACACTGAAACAAAACAAAACAAAACAAAAAAAAACACCAAGCTGTTACATTAGAGAAATGTTTAATGATATTTATGTTGTTGCTTCTTTTTCTCGTTCATTGTAAATAGAACACTTTTCTTTGTTATTGTATGTAAATATGTTAGATTTTCATTTATGCGAGCGAACGAGCATGCTTGCGTGCTGGTTGTTGCTCAAATGTGTGTGCGTCTATCGTGTGTGTGCGTTGACTGTTTACAATAAGCATACACAAAAGCGCAACGCGAATTTTCGATTTATTCTTTTTGTTATCGCTTCGCTCCGTGTGACTAGATTGATAATAAAGTAGAGGACTTAAGGAATTTAGAGCTAGGATCAAAATACAACACAATCTGAAAATAAATTGAACATTGTTGTCTCTTTTTTTGTCAATCATCTCATTCTCCTTCTCTCCGTCCGTCCTACCGGCCCTCTCTCGGTCTTGCTCTGAAAATGAAATTGATGTCTTTTCCATGAATTAAGAGATTTGGAAGTTTTCGTCAGAAAAGTTTCATTGTATCTAACTGGTGGGATCTTGTTTCTTGCAACATGGTAAGTACATATCAAAATATGCGAACACTGTTTATCTTTTTCGTTTCGTTTTTGGATATTTGTTGCAAGCGATTGCTGCTGCTGGTGCTGCTGCTGCTAATGTGGTTTAGAAATGTTTTTCTTTCGTTCAGCTTTAGTCATAGCGAGCAGCAGCAACACCACCACCACCACACCGACAACTCAACTGAATGATTATGGGTTGAAGGAAAAAAAACCGATTCGATCGATTATTACACCGCAAAAATTGGAAACATTTTCGACTGTACTAATTATAGACACGATGTCAATGTGTATACCCAACCTATATAGAGTACACACAGAACACTTACCGTACTTTGTGGAGTAAAAAACTGCTGCTACTGCTCATTGAACTAAGAGGTTCGAAGTTAGGAAATAAAACGGCATGTTTTTTTTTTGGAAAAAGAAAACATTCAATAAATTTACTTCTCAGTTAAAATTGTATACATATTTACACTAGAATGGTTGCTCTTGTTGTTGTTGTTGTTTTTGTCATTTTTTTCTTCATTTATTCCTTCTCTTGTTTGTTGTCATTAGACACTTAAGCGCTATGTAAATACAGTTTTTTTTTTCTTCATTTGTAGTTTTTATTTGTTATTACTATTATTTTGTTGTTGTATTTTGGCAATAAATTTACTTCAATCTATTTTGATACAATTCTTGATCAATGGTGGGAAAAGTAGAAAGTGTCATGTGGCAAGAAAATTGGGCTTTGGCGTGTGTGTGTGTGTGTGCTTTCTAAGTGGGTGCGTGTGTGTGAGTGAGAGAGGAGGTAAAGAGGTGGGGGAGTGGGTATTGTTGAGATTGTGGACGCACTATCAAAACGAACAAACGAGTAGTAAGAGAGGAGATTGAGAAAGCATTTCGGGACGAGGAAAAAGTTATAAAAGTTGTTTCTCTGTTTGAGACTAGGCCTAATATATTGAGTTGACTTTAAATGGAGTGTTTTGCTTTAATTTTCGTCAAATGTTACAGTATCATCGCTCTTTTTTCTCTCTCTCTCTCTCTTTCCAACACATCTCTCTTGTTTGCGCATTCAATAGATTTTCCGCATAGTACCGAGATATGGTTTTCCGTCGCTTCACACATATGCTGAACAATAGAGAAAGCAGAAAGCTGGCGGAAAAAAAGTGAACGGAGGGAGAAAAGAAGTGTGCCGTAGTCGTGCGATGGAAAAACATTTCCACGAAATAGAAAATTACATATAATCGCTAACAGTTTCGGTTGCACGCTCATAAAATTCTCGCTTATCCTCCGTTATTAAGACATATTGTGCAACATATACACAAACACATTGCAAAAGTAAAGCATGCTGGCATGTTATTTGGAGAGAAGACACCGAAAAATATAGAAGACGGCTGCTGCGCTATGCGGATAGTTTGAGCATGGCATCGGTATAGGAATTTATGCCATAGAGAAATGGAGAGAGAGAGAGAAAGAGAGAGGGAGAGAGAGAGAGAGAGACTAGTTATGGTTTTTAATGCATTTTATTTTGTTACAAACAACTTTGATAATCTTGCTTTCATTCTTCTCGCCTTTTTTTCATTCGGCATTTATGCATGACATGACCGTGTGGAGTGTGGAGTGTGGAGTGTGCATAAACGAGAATGCACACAACACATTTTTCCTCGTCCACTCTAAGTGCAAGCGATTTTTACTGTTTGTTCGCACTGATCCGTTCTATTATTATTATCATCATTATATATGATATTTCCCAATTAATTGCAGCTTAAATAAAATACATGGGCTCCTTTTCTGTTCATTTTCGTCCGTCCGATTGCAATTCACCGCTCTCTTTATTGCCACATCTCGAAACCAAGTTATTTGGCGAGCGCACAAACAATACGCACATACATCTATAGAGTGTGTGTGTGTGTGATGGTTGCGCATTTTCCACTCAACCATATAGATCTCTCCATATTCGTTTCATGGATTTGCATTTTGTATCCTGCTTTATTTTCTAATTTAACATATTTCAACATTGATTTATACATATATTCAACACTGACAATTTCGATAATATATTCAATTTATTTGTTACAAGAAAAAAAAATCGAGAAAAAGAGAATCGATGAACATGCTCACACACACACACACACACACGTTCTCTTTCTCTTTTCTTCTTTACAGTTCGCAAACCGATCCGAGTCATTTTCAAATTAAACCAGAGACGTGTTTAGCGCACAACGAACGCTCTACATTCAGTCAATTGGTTTGACCTTTTTTTTGTTGAAAAAAAGAAAGAACGAAAATGTGCCCGCCGGTCGTATATCCGTATTGGAATACGTAATCCAGATCAATTTACGAGCGTATTGCGCTAAAGCGACATATCTCATGCTAAAGTGGCATTCTTTTATTTTGTGTCTCCTAAAATGCTTTTTTGTTTTTTTGTGTTGTTTTCGTTTCTTTGCTTTTTTTAATCAATTGAATGGCTTTTGGTTTTTATACGCTTGATATTGTTATTATTGCTGAAAAAATGCAGTATTCAAATAAAATCACTGACAATGGCTTTTTGAATGTATGTGTGTGTGTGTGTGTGTGTGTGTGTGTGTGTGTGTGTGTGTCTGTCTGTCTGTGAAACCAGCACGTATCATATCTTGCTGTGTTTGTGCTTTTTTGACAAATCGTTTTGTGCATGGGAGAGTTTGTATACGTTCGGATTGGATGACACATTCGTCGTTTGAATTGGCATCGGAAACCATTGGATAATGACGAACATGCTCATTTTTATTCGATCACACTTTTACCATCAAACGACGACAATTGCCATTCCGTTCACATGAGCTATGTCATTGCAAATTGTAGTGTGTGTGTATTTTTTTCGTCTTTTTTTGTTGTTGTTTAATTTGATTCCTATTCTGTTATTCCTGTAATATGATTGAGTCAATATTTAGATGATTATCACTTGAAATATTGAAGAGCCAAACCGTGTTCTCATGTTGGATGGTTTGTTTTTGTTAGTTAAATTTTATGTTAGAGCTATAAACTTATTATATTTAATTGGCTAACGCTGAAGGACAAGTAAAAATATCTGATTTTTTCTTCTTAGCTTTTGTTGTTGCTCGATTTGATTTGTTCTTTCTTTTTCTGGTTCGCAGTTGAAATATGGTTTGACGTGTGTAATAGCTGTGTGGATTTTCTGCCATTTGATTTTCCTTCCTAATTCGATTCACCGGGCAAAGAGAAACTGGGGCCTATGCCAACCTTAAGTTCTATTTCCGATCACTTAAGTTCTATTTATCCAAAATGTTTTAATTAATTGATGTCACATGTAAATTAAAGTTTCTCTACGTGAAAATGAGTGGTCTTGGTTGAGCGCACACTGTGCCACTGTTTTTGACACCAGCAATTTTGGGGTTTTTCAAACACAGCACGTCCACTTTTTCCATTCATGAGCAGCCACTATATTAAGTTGGTTCAACAGAACACACACTCACAGTTTTGATACGGCAAAAAGTTTTAGTTTCGACTTTTAACCACATTACTCAATATATTATAGCGCATATACGAAGGTAGAGGTAATAAATGACGTGCTGATTTAAAACCAATTACGTTATTTCAAATATACCGGCCAAAACTCATCAGATCAACAGCACAGCCAGTCAGACTGCTAGGGGCAGACACAAGATTTATGATTCATTCAAATTTGCAACGATTTCGATGGATTCTTTTGACAAATTCACTAGTTGAGTGATTCACAAAATACGATAGATATTTTGGTGGTGACTGATCGGTATTCACTCGCACTAATAACAGCTAGTACGTGAACTAAACATGACAGCAGTTAGTGCGAGAAGGGACCAAACTCAACACCGCCAATAGTTTGCAAAAATCTCAGTCATTCTTTGAATAAAAAACATTGAATTTCATTGGAATTCGAAAATCACAAAGTTGTAAAAGGGAGTGAAATTTAGATGCTATATCATCCCCTAGATTGGTTGGATTGTCTGTGTGCCGCACGCTTCATCCAACGTGTAATGTGACTCAATTGAATATGAACAAGTTGGAAGAGTTGAAACGAATCTCTTCCATGTGTGAAAGGATTTATGAAGTAGATTCTTTGTATGCTGTAGCTGTTACCGTTAAGTGTGTTGGCATTTCTAAATGCTTAAATTTTATTCTATGAAACACAAAGCTTATTCGACTAAATGCATTACTATATTTAGTTGAACATAATAAATAATTTTGTTGTTTGTTGTTGATTGCACGCACGTTATTCACTGTGTTAGCTATACACATCCCACCTATCCGGGTTTTTGCACACGGAATGACAAATGTTGATTGGTTTTTTTTCGATGTAGCGAAACCGAGAATGGCATGAAATAGTTATTGTTAGTGACAAACAGTGGTGCAAACAACGCTGGCTCATGCTTTTATTTTATTTTTTTTTTTTTCATCACCAGCACATCACACATTGACTGCTTTGCATTAAAATTTTCAAAAGATTCTCTAAACCGGATCATTATTTGGTTGTTTGTTCTAATATTTATCACTGACTCTCTATATATGTATATATATTTCGCCAACATTTGATTAAATTATTTTCGACAGATTCCGATAAAATGAAAATTGTATTTTCTTTTTGGGATTTTTCTTTTAAATTCTGCGCACAGCGAAAAAGAGATTTTGATTGATCGGCATTGGATTAATCGATAGTCGAACTCATTATTATAACTAAATTACATTTGCAATTATTGGCGATTGTTTAAATGCTATGCTTAAAATGTAAATATTCCATTTTCATTTCTTATTCCAATTGTTATCATTGAATACAAATTCTCAATGTTTCGATTAACATTTTTCCTTCAATTGATTCACCGGCATTTTGTTCGCATCTTTTTCCTCTTCATTTTTCGGCACAACTCGCGAACATTTTTTGTTTGTTTTTATAACAAAAGCACTCAATGGAGTCACTGAAAATGATATTATTGCCGATGGTGCAAAAAATGAATTCAACACTTTTAAATTATTCTATTCATAATTACCAGCGCCAAACAAAAAAAAAAACCCAAACGCACTACACGCTCGGACTCATCTGTACTCCGATTTCATGGAACAATAAAAAATATAACACAGAACGTTGCTGTGTGTGTATGTAAATAAAATGGTTGTTTCTCCTAACTACAGTTACAGTTCCACAGTCACAGCGTTAAATAAAATAATTTCCCTTTATGTTTGTCTCCAATTTCGTATTCACATTTGTTTTGATGAAAAATGTAAATATGATTTATTCTTTTGCTACAATTTGATTAGAATGTTTCATGTGTGTTTCTTTTAGTTTGTTAAATCTCATAATCATGCAACAACATAGTAATATATACATCCATATTTAGATAATTATAGTTATTTTAAGTCTGACATTTTATCAATAAATATTCAGTGCTAATCGTGTGTAATTCAATCGCCAAAATGGTATTTGTAACATTATGCGAGAGAGTTCATCAGTAACACATTCGTAAAATTCGACATAAGTTAAACGAAGAACGAAAAAATAAACGGTCATTTCAGAACGTTTATTAAGTTAATCATTTTCATCAGAGCAGATTTCTATTTGCTATAATAGTTTAGTTGATTTTTTTTTCTTTTATGGTTTTCCGGTTGGTAATGGGCCTAGCATTACATACTAGAGTTCAAATTTGAGCAAGGAAATTGTGTGAATTTTTTTTCTTCTGTGTCATCAGCGTCATAAAAGCCTACATTTACACATTAATTATTTAACCATATTGATTTGATCTTTGTTCGCTGGACTTTGTATCGTATTGAATTAGAGACAATGTGTTGACATATCAGTGGTTAATGTTCACGGTGATTATGTTGATAGAGACGGGTGGAAAGGAGTGTGGCGCGATAAAACCAATGAAAATTACTGAAAAGTGATGAAGCATGGACTGAAATTCGATCAAATATCACGATGTGAAGAGAATAATCAATATCAAGATATGAAAAGTGAGTTTATAAGAAGCTTTATTACATGTTTCATATCGAATGGTTATTCTTTTTGTTTTATTTTGTTCATAAAAATCAATTGAATATTTCTGAAGTAGTCAAAATTGTTGACACATTCAAGCATTTTGAAGACAATCACACTCTAGATCACACCGCAAGTAATAATAAATGGCGCAAGTTTATCATTGTAACAGAAACCGTATCATGCATCGTACATATCAGCCATACATTCGTAACATGTTTAACTATCGTTCAACATAAAAAAGTTGAGACGATGTTTTTTTTTTTTTGATGAAATTTTAGATCACATGAATTTGCTTTTTCAATTAGTTCTATTTAAATGAAACTTGTTTGAATCATTAGTTCGGAAATGGAATGGAATGTTTTCCATTTCAGTTGCCTTTTTTTCTATGAATGAAACTGTGTGTCGAATGCAGAAGTCAAAGCATAATTTTCAGTTTATTTGCCGGTGTACGAGCGTGCAAATTGAGTGTTGCAAATTATTTATGGTAGATTAAACAGCGTAAATATATGACATGTATTTTATGCACACGAAATGACATTGTGCTGAAGGTCAAATGTGCGAATTATATGTGATTTTTTTTTTGTCGGACTTTTTTTTTCACAGTGACGGACGTTTTTTGCATCCACTTCTGGTGTTGTTTCTCTATTGAATGGAAAAATAAACATTGCACACGCACATTTTCCGTCCGGATGCACCTGTGAATGTTATTGCATTTCCTTTCTTTTTCGTTTATTCTGTGCAGCTACTGAGCACTGCTGCTCCTAGGGGGTAAGAATACAAGCGCTTGAGACGAATCCGTACGAATATTTGTGAATTCGAGTGATTGTGTATACGAGACATTCGCAGCGCAGTGAGTGTACAACAACAATAATAAAGCCACGAACGCATGAATATATGCGAATCTATGTGAATTTCACAACTTGTTCTTAGCCCCTAGTGCTGCTCTAAAAGTAGTAGATCAAAATTGGAGAATGAAAAAATCCGTTTCAACAGCAGAAAAATTGCCCAATACCCTTGCTCGATATTTATTTATTTTCTATCTCAATATCTATTTGAATGCTTATTTTCTATCTCTCACTGCCAAATTGTTTTCTTTTTGTTTACTTACGAGCTCTATATTTGTTCGTGTTCTCTCTGAAGTGTTGGTGCGGCGCATTTAGACAACGACTGGTGCACGCTTTTTGGACTTTGATGTTTTTAAACTATTCTTGTGCTATACGCGTAAATCATTTGCCGGCCCATTAATGCCACCGCCATCTGTTGAAGCATGTTTTCTTCCTAAGTCTGTAGCATCATCGGCAGTGATTGTTTCAATTTCGGTCGATGTTTTGCTCGTTATCATTGTCGTTGATTCAGGCACCACCACCACTTCCGTCACCATTGCGCTTGAATCATGGTTCAAAACTAAATCGGAATTTGTGCTATCGCCTTGATACGTGTCTATCACTGAACCGGCATCAATATCGGTCATTTCGAAGGAATGATGCAATGGTGTCACCTGCGTCACACCATCGTTTACATCTGGATTGGGTGTGCCATCAACAATGCAATGGCCATTATTACTTTTGGGATTATGTGATTGTGATTGGTGAGCGGGTGATACGTCATCGAATTGATGATGCTGCTGCTGGTAGTCATCATTCAATGGCATCGCCAGCGTTGCCATCGCTGTTATTGTCGGTGACATAATCGTTGGCGACACCATTTGTTCACTGTTCGGCTCGGATGTATTGTTGCAATTCGTTACATTACTATTTAAATTCGTTAAAAAATTGGTTAAATTCACCGTTTGCGTCGCTATCTCCACAAATCTAGCACAACCATTCCCTTCAGTTCCATCACCACCACCACCACCACCACCACCTGGTGAAACGGGAAATTTCAAAGAATCATTATTAATATAATCATACAAAGAACCATTCCATATCTCTTGTTGCGAAATAAGTTGCAGTTTCAACAAGTGAAATTGGAATAACAAATTTCAAATTTCATATTTCTGTTAATGAGTGACAGAAAGCACTGGAAAAACTATATTGCTTAAATTTTACTTTATTTCACTGTACATTTTATTTGCATAAATTAAAATCTCGCTTTCCCCTCGAAAAATGTAACATGAATTAACTAGCATTGAGCTTTAAATACATGTGCTTTATGGATTCACAGCTACACTTTACTCTCAGAAGTGTTCACAGTTTCGAAAATGGTAAACAATGTAACAACATATAAAAATGTGCAGCAAATTCTTCGACATAAACACCCAATGGAATATCTTGGATTGCGTTAACTTTAATTTAGGTTGCATCCTAATTGAATTTATATTTCATTCCATCTTGCCACGAAATTCGAAACGCAAAAACTTTATGCGATGGAAGAAGCAGAAAAAATACCAAAGGAAGAAGAGAAAGCAGACGAAATAAGAGCCACAATTCAATCTGAGCGAGTAAAGTTATCCATGCTTTTCTTATCACTTGCTCAACGAGTGAGAAGAATATTTTGAAATGAAAAGCCGTAGTAGTAGCAACAACAGCAGTCGTGTCCGAGATAAATCAAATTATTTAACAAATGGTCTTTCACTGTATTGAAATGAAGCTATAAAATGTAGAGAAAAAGAAAAAAAAAAAAACAAAAACGACGAAGAGGAAAAAGAGATCATGAGATTCTAGAACTTAAGTTGGAAACTCCAACCAAACTTAAAAGTGCTTCGAGTTCGTGCTCGGACCGTGTATTTACGATCCAAAAAAAAGAGCGAGCAAAAACACACACACACACACACACAGAAGAACAACACGAAGTAAACCTTCGTTCAAGGTGCAAAGAGGAGCTAAACGAGAGATTGTGTGTGTGCGTGTGGGATAAAAAGATGAAAATAAAGTGAAACCAATGAAGAAAAAAATATCCCGTGTGTTTTTCTTTCAATACTTGTATTTGTCTGTGTATTTACCAGTGCTTAGAACTTTTAGTTTGTTGACGTCTTCGGGTGGATAGATCGTCGTTGTTTGTTTTTCGATTTTTTCCTTTTGATTGCATGTAGCAGCTGTCACCATAATTGCAGCCATCATTGACGATGACGGACCCGTACCAGTTGTTTTATTCATGGCACTGTATCGAACGGGCATCATGCTCTGCCTGACATTTCGCTCCGGCCGAATTAAAATTATGTAAAGCTATTCGTGTCCAAATGAATTTCACCGTTCAGTCATCATCAGTGTATGCATTTGACAAAAATCCATTCATTTCGTCGCAATACCGTATCGACATGCAGCATTGGGCATGAAAAATAACAAGAGAAGAAACAGAGGGAGAGAGTAAAAAAGTAGACAATCCAATGAAAAATAATGTCGTTTCCTTTTTATTCATTGTTTTTTTTTTTTGTTATTTCATTCTATAAGATAGAGCCGTTGCGTTCAGTGTGTTTTGGGTGAAATTCGGTGCGTAGAGTGTTCAATGAAAAGTCAAAAATTTACATTCGAATCAGAATTGAAAATAGAAAAGCCAGCATCATAAACAGTACCCTTATCACATTATTCGAATCGAATGGTATGCCGTCAATTGAATCGTATGCAAATGCTCGTATTTTGTTTTCTCATCATCTTCATAGTTGTCGCTTTACGCTCTCACTTTCTCTGTCACTATCTTTAATCGGGCATATTAGTTCAGGGTGTTGATATTCAACATGGCCATTGCATCTGTTTACAGTGGCTGGACGCGTCTGATATGTCACCAATTGAAAGATAAAAATACGAATGAAATACGAATTTAAAACAAAAAATATGAATCCATACAGATAACGATTCTCAAAATGAAAATTAAACGAAACCACAACCGGGCACAAAGGAAAATTCATGGTTGGAAATGTATTCCGACAGTTATAATGGATCCAACTCCAACGAGAAAAAAAGAAATCCCAATGAAATTGTAATCAAAAACTATAAAATCTGTCGTATAAACTATGAGGCCGAGAAGTGCCTGCTGTTTACACAAGACCACTTGGTTCGATAGATGTGATGCAGGAAATGTGGCTCGAAACATGGGGCAAAATTAAATGACTTTATGGATAGTTTTAAATCCGTTTTCGATTGTGTTTAATCGGCTAGAGTGCCATTCAGAATGGGGTTTCCGTTTTCAAATAACAATGTCAAAACCCTTACGTTTCATCCTTATTTATTTGGCTACAATGTTGAATAATTCTGTGACATAGAAAAAAAATAAACACACCTACATTCAAATGGAAATCAATTTACCGTTTGTTCACCTTCAAGCACCGACCACAAACTGAACGACCAAGGCAGCAAATGTCGATAGATTTCGTGTGATAAAAGGTCTCTGCTGATTACGATGATGTTGACTGAAGACGCGCGCGTTTTCTCTCTCTCTCTCTCTCTCTCTTTCTCTTTCTCTTCTACTTTCTTCGTTCAAAGTGAATATCAAAGAACACTGGAAACCCCAAAAGCAATGAAAAGAAGGAAATAAAACGGGGCACAAGGGAGAAGGAGAAAGACATTGCGAGAATAAGGAGCACGCACGGACTTCCAACGAACGGGTCCGCAATCAGCAGAGGTTATTTGTTGGATGAATAATAATTTACTGTGCGCAGTATAAATACAGAATAGCTTACCTTGGGCGAAAATAGACACGCCACCGTAACACTGGCCGATAAACTAATTGTCACTGACATTGATGTTAGCCGAAGTGGTACATGATTTGCGGTGCCAAAGTATAGCGGAACGAATGCCAGCCAAATTACACACGTCGTGTACATAGTGAAACCTGTTCATTTTGTAGTATTCCATGTTAACCGCGCAAAACAATGAACGGCCGATTGTGAAAAAAGCGAGCGAGGCGAAGTATTTAGGAACACAAGTGTCGAAGTGCGATTGGGTTTTTTTTTTTTGTTCGGTACCATTCCGTGGTTTTGAATTTGTATGGTTTTTTGTTCGGTGTCCGCACGTTTGCATGAAAATAATTCGATGGAATTCAAGTGTTCGGCCGTGGAATTTTTATTATTGTGAATGAAAAAAAAAAAAAATTTTAGAACTAAATACTAGTATTTGTTGGAAATATTAAATTCAAAATGAGCTCGAAATGCTAGAGGAATAAAGCGGAGAACGGTCGAAGAGAAACAATAACAAAATGAGCCAGAGCCAACCAAACCCCGAACACCAATCAAGAGAAAACAACGGCCGTCAGTGGTGTCAAAGCGATGATAATTTTTGGTTTGGCTACTCATCATAATAATTTGCGTTATGCACCGTAAACATAATCAATTTTTTTTTTGCTGTTTGCTCATGTTGCTGTTGTTCACTCATTATTTTGCTCCAATTGTAAAATATTCTCTCACCTATGTGCTTCGATTCATTAAATGCTTCGGGTATTTTTCGCGTTAAAACTGCATAAACTGTGCAAATTACGATTAAAAATATGGGATAGGAAAATGCAATCATGTACGATGCATCCACATAAGAGTCACACACAAGTAGATTATCCTCTCGCGTCGGATAATGATGCATTGCACGTGCCGGTGAAATTATCTGCCAGATCAAATTGATAAGCACCTAGATAGATATACATATAGATATAGATATATTATAAATGACATTAATAAGGTTTTTAAACATAACTTTACAAAATTTTGTAACCAACACCAGAATTCTATAAATTTATGCCAACACGTATGCAAATTTAAATTTTAATATGTGGATGAAAGCCACAAATGATAACATCTATCTCTCGTTCTGTCGCATTTTTGCATCGCATACCTGTTATGCAACACCAAGCGAGTAATGAATCCACTGATAATTCACAATCATTAGAGAGTAGCAAACAGCAATTGCAATAGCAACAATCAGATGGGAATGTACGCGAGCAAGCGAGCGAATAGTTTCAATTGAAAAATGAAACGTGATGAAAATATAATTGGAAAATTGAAACGTGAGCAATTTAGTTAGGAGCGAAAAAAAAAACGGAATTGATTAATGCACTCGCGTATAAATAATTACGACAAAAATTCTATTGCAATGTTTACAATTGGCCGCTGAGGGCGAGAGAAACGCAGAGAAAGAAAGAGAGAGAGATAGAGATGAACCCTTATCGATTGAACGATAAATTGCGTAACATTCATCAGGGAGCAATAATTTCGAATCATTTCATCCCGTGGTAGTCATATGAACAACAAATAGATATCACGCAACGATCAGATAACATAAACTGTCAGTATTTTAATTGAAACACATTAAACGACTCAGCTGTAGCGAAATGAACAAATACGAGCAATTCCATTTGAGCGCGTAGCTCAGGTGACTTTTGGAATAATTGAATGATGCGAAAATACAAATGTTAATTAAGTGATCATCAAGTACAGCTTTCCAAATCGAGTGTGAACATTTAACAGATTCAACGGAGTTTTTCTGAATATTTGACGGTCGACGTTATGCGTCATTCGACTGAAAGTGTTTTTTTATTTTCGATTTAATTATTCGGATGAAACATTTACAATGACGCCAGAAGCAGAAGAAAACCCTCTTTTTCACTATTTAGAAGAAGAACTTTTAAAGTTGGCAATATTTTTACACTTTCTTTGCCACGTTCGAATTTTAAAAGTTTGATTGATACTGCAATTTGTTCGGTTTCAGTTCCAAAAGAAGACTTCATACGAAACCGAATGCGAATTGTGAATGATATACGCGTGTGACCATGAAGAATGAGTACAATGATTTGATTTAATCATTTGACTGTCTTCACCTAAATGAAACGTAGGCTGTCTTTCCTGACATTTTTGTCACCCACAAAATGTACGGGAAAAATTAATAAAATCCAGTGTTTTTTTTTTTTTTTTAATTTTCATCATAATCAATAAAATACAACATTCTCTTTTCGTTTTTAGTAGTTTCGGCTTTTATACGTAATATATATTACATATATATGCATACTTTTTGGAACATCATTTTTGGCTTGTATTCAGTTTTGGATTTTTCTTGGTTTTTGACGTGCGCGAGCGCTTTTGTACAGATGTCACCTCTTTGTTAGTGGACGTATAGTAAGCAAACTATGTCTTAATTTATCTAAATTCAATGCTCTTTATGATAAAACTTTGAAACTGTCAAAAACTATTCTCTATTTTGTGTATATTTAGCCCGGTATTTATTGAAGTAGACTAGTTTTATTGTTCACTCCTCATATTTAGGGTCTATAAAATTCCAACTTCTGCACCGAACCTAATAATTTATAGCGCATTTGAATGGTAATTTATTCCACTATTCACAGGCAATTTATTTGTGGTGATAGCTATTCTACAAAAAAAGTTACAGCCTTAAATGTGATCAGAGAACAGTGACTTTCCAAAAAATCTTTCAAAAAACCAAAATGAACTAAATCATACCGTAACCTAATGAAACGAAATATAGTTTTGAGATCACGAGAGCGTCTTCTTCAACGTAGTATTCTTCGTTTTGCTCAAAAACTTTTTTTTCAACTTTATTTATTGGTTTGAATATATATTGACATTTTTGTCAGGAAAGACAGCCCTTGTGTTCTATCGGCGCTCTTCCAAGAGAGCAGCACCTTTATTCGCGCTATTTATTATTCCTCTTTGAACATTTTCTAAAACTATCACAGCAATATACAAGAGTGCAAATCTGCTTGTCTGCGCTCTCGCATATTCCTCTTTGCTGTAACATCTAGTAACCATTGCACTGTGTTCATTGTTTCGTATAGCAGCAAAGAGGAATATGCGAGAGCGCAGACAAGCAGATTTGCGCTCTTGTATATTGCTGTGATAGTTTTAGAAAATGTTCAAAGAGGAATAATAAATAGCGCGAATAAAGGTGCTGCTCTCTTGGAAGAGCGCCGATCTAGCACAAGGGAGCCAATGACTTTTTTTGCTTCGGGCTCTACATAGGAAAATAAATTTATTTTTTCACTTTTTTTTTGGGAATTAAGAAAAAAAATGATCGAAAAGAGCATACCTAGAGTTTCATCAAAAAATGATTTTAAAAAAAGTACTATTTTTAAGATTTTCGGAGCGACTGACAAAAATGTCAGGAAAGACAGTCAAAAAGTTAATGAGTGATTGTTGCTCGAGAAGTACAAATGTACAATGCATTTGCTACGGATCTCCTTGTTCAACATGGACATATTCAATTCGAAACGGAATATGTTTACTTGAAAGTAGCTAAAACAAACAAACGAACAATTTATTGCCTTAATTATGACTTACCTGAACTGAAGTGAGTGACGCGCAGATGACAAGCTGTGATCGTGGGCTGATGAAAGATGGTCGTTTGGCCGATTGTTTTCCATGCTTGAAAATTCGTGATATGCGATTTGTTTTGGTGAGCAATGCGCCATAAACAACGGTAAAACAAAAACCAGCGCAAAATCTATTCGCGTTTCCATGTTTTAAATTCCATTTATATTCATTTCGATGGGCAACAGTCACAACCGAGTCCAATCAACATCGAAACGAAAAATTCCCCCATGAAAACGAGAAAGAAAAAAAAAATAAACAAATACAAAATGTACGTTTAGAGAGGGAGAGAACAGAAATGTGCAAAAAAAGTTTCTATTTGGTATAGTTCCGATTTTGCATCAAGCATGAACAGATTTGCCGCATTCACATATTTACAGTTGACTCGATGTAGAAAAAGATGGGAAAAAAGCGAACCGAAGCGTTTTTTGTTCGTTGTGTGTGTGCTTGTGCTTGTGTGTGTGTATATGTGTGTGTGTGGGTGGGTATTTGTTCGTGTCCGAGGAAGTGTTTGTAATTAAATTAAGAGTTTCCTTATACGACCATGGCTAGATTGTTGGACGCTTACAGAAGGACAACGGCACACAGGCAACACTCCGAAGAGAAATAATATGAAAATAATGTGCTTTGTTTGTAATTATGCTTTGATTACATTTCAATTATTCATTTAAAAAAATAGTCTAGTACTAATCTATAATTCGGCCCGGAAGACCGAACATATGCTTCACTGACACCCATAAAAGATGCAATCAATAGCGTTCGTGTGCTACATTTTTTTTTTGTTTATTTACAAACAACAAATTCTTCGTTTGTTCGTTCCATTCAAACTGTGATTAAAAGCATGAGTACGATTTTTTTGCACCTATTTCTGCGTCCACTCCCTAACTCCGCGCATCCAAAATTCCGACAGCTGGAGTTCAGTTGGCATAAACAATACTCATGCTACAATGACTGACTGGCAAATTTGTATCAAATTCAAAGCATTTATAGAATATTCGGCACAAACACAAAAACCACCCTTGGGCTTTTTCATTCGCCCATTCCCATACATTTGCTACATTTTTGTATATCATTTGTGTTTATCTGATTAAAATATTATCGCTGGTGCCGTCGACGATGGCGAGGCACCAATGTGCAAACAAACAACAACAAAAAAAAAGAAGCAACGGCACAAATTATGGACGGCTCATAGTATGTGATTGTAGTTTATAGCACCAATACTCGTACAGTAGCCGCGGGAATAAATGTTTCCGTTTCAATTTATTGTGTTTATTATTTGAACCGCTCCCGAGTCTCTATCCCAGTGTAATTTATATACACAAAACAACCAAATGTGACAGTTGTTGATGCTGTGGCCTTGAGCTGTGTGACCTGCTGGAATTCCGATATGGGGAACTTCGTTCGTTCTCCATCTGGATTACAACCTCGGATTACACATCCCATCGTAAACATGATGCAAAGTGATACGAAAGAACAAGGAGAGAAAAAATACGGAGCTTTTTTGCAGTCTCGAAAGTTTCGCACGATTTTTTGCGATATTCTTATGCTCGGTATCTTCTTTTGATATATTCCAAATTCCAGATTTATGTCACTATGTTTTAGAGTGAGTTTTTTTCTTCTTCAGAACAAATCCCAATTCGTTGTAAGATAGTAGTCTCTATCTGCTGTAGACATGTGAAACCATCTGTTCGGATGGAAGAATTTTATTTTTTGTCTGGACAGATCAACCTGCCACTTATTCATTTTGGCCAAAAACACTTTTTTTTTTTCTTCACTTCATTCACTGCCGTTTCTGGGCTGTCACATTAAAAATGCTTGAAATTTCGTTAACGTTACTATTAAATGCCGTTGAAATAACGTCAAATTTACACTGGGTACACGTGAAAATGAATAAACCCCAATTTTTTTTCTTTACTCTTACTCAAGATGTCGATATGTTGTTTAGCCGAAGATGAAATGCCAAGATCAGCAAGAATAATAGTGAAACACTTTTTCTGCCAACTTGACATTACCTATCATTTTTTTTCATTCCTGTTTTACTGCTTTGAATATATTGGCTTCATATCTAAAAGTTGTTTGAATATGAGAAAAAAAACCGCTTTCATTCTCGATTGAATTTGTGCTGACGCTTGTTTGCAATGAACAATGAACATCATCAGAGCCCTCTTTCTCTCCTTCTCTCTCTCTCTCTCTCTCTCTCTGAATGAATCAACTATAAAATTGCTGATTTTGCATGTTAATGGACGTTTGTTCTTGTGAAAATTTGACGCCTCATTATAATACTTAGCTATTCAAATGCTCTCCATAAAACAACAACCGAAGAGAGGTGAAGAGAAAAAAAGTGTGTCTCAATGGCTGACATCACACAATGTTACGAGCGACAAAGAATCAACGTATAAAATATACATACCTTGTTCCGAAAGAAAGAGAGAGAGAGAGAGAGAGAGAGAGAGAGAGAGAGAGAGAGAGAGAGAGAGAGAGAG